ATACGTTAGGTCTATAGCTATATCTCAATAATTAATTTTTTTACATTTTATTAAAAATATTAATTATTTTTAAATTTTAAAATTTTAAAATTTTTTTTTGTGTACGCGTACGTTATTACTTCCATTACTACTGGATTGATTAATCTCAACGATAGGTTAAAAGATCACAAAACGTATCTTATTAAAACTATAGTATTATAATTTTCAAAAATGCGCCATAGTTGCAGCAATAAAAAAAAAACCCAGCACAGGGGAGTCGCGGTATCTGTAAAGTGATTAAAATCACTATCAAAAAAAAAAACGCTTTAATTTAAGGTATATATAAAAGTGTCAGTCGTTCTGGTTGGGTTTCTAATATTAAGTTGAAAAAGTTGTCATTTTGAAACCCTTTTTTGTGGGCTGGTAAGGGGTCAAATGTTCACAAAAGATAGATAAATACCTAAGGTATCTATTAAAAAAAATTATATTAATTTGTTAATTTATGAAAAAGTTATCGAAGTTTTAACAAAAAAAGTGAAAAAAATGACGATATTTACTGATTTTAAAAATTGTAATTTTTTTTGAGATTTCCCTCCCATTTACGGGGAACGAGGGAAGTTTTTTCAATTTTTTAGGGTAATGTCTTCGACTAGATACAATTTGTAATCTTTTGAAGTATCGTTGAAAGAAATCGGTTTGGTGAGAGCTGAGAAAAAGTGGTAACAGACACAAAAAGAAAACACATCATAGTAAAACCAATACCTTCTCAGCTTAGCATCTAGGCTAATAGGTGAAAAGGGTAGTCTTTAGCAAAGTTATATTTTTACCACAACACACAAATAAACATTCTTCACATTCCAACATCGTATAAATACGTATTAATTGAGATACAATTTTAAAGCGTTTTAAACAGGATACAAAACAAAATTATTAAAAAAAATATTATCAGTTTTTTATACGTTACTTAATAGAAATAAATTTACACTGGTCAGCCCCAATCCCTCCAATTAGTAAATCACTAAAGGGTAGGCTTTAGAACGGTTAGTACGGTCTAGCTCAAAAGTGGCAAACTGAAAGTTGGCTCCTAGTCCCCACCAACATAACTATCATTTTACTATACCTACTAATTGGCGGCTAAGTCCAAAAACAAGCCAGCACGCACGCTAATTGTTAAATTCGACTAAAGGACTAGCAGTTCAACCTTGATTATTCTAGCCGCACACAGACACACACAATTTTAACAACAAGCGGATATAAAGTATTTCCACTAAGTCCATGTTTCGAACATTTATCTTTTATTTACGGAACGTAAGAAACTAAAATCAATATATAATACAATAATGTAACACAATATAAATTAATCGGTACGAAATACAATGTTTCACCGTTAATACGTCCTAACTCGTAACAAGACGTTTCTTCATGCAGTCTATTCACTTCTATTTCTATTGTCTCAAAAATACTTTGGGTTTGACTTTTAAATAAAATAGGTTACATAAAAAGTTTTCAATGGTAAATATTTTAATTATAGCATCTATTTAAACACTAAGAGTTACATAGAAATATTTCGTATTAAAATGATTTATTACAATATAAATATAAAAAATATAATAAGTGATTTTAACGAAATTTCAGAGTTTTCTCGTAATTTTACTGTTAATTGTCATTATCTAAGTTCCTGGCCATATATCAATCTAAACAATATCATTTTTTAAATCTTTATTAAAATTTTCTATTTAATGATATCAATTTTAAACTTGGAAATTAAACTAATAAAAAGGTTAAAAGTTCAACATTTTTTAATTATAAAACTTTATAAGTATCAACTTTAAGGACCAAAAAAATAGGTTAAGTATGATTATTTGAATCGAAATTGTGCATGGATTATTTTTAACATATTAAAAATCAATTTTTAAATGTAAATATTTGTTTTTATAAATTAGTAATAATCTCAAAAAAAGATGCGATGGAAATCAATCAATCAATTGCAGATTTGAAATCAGCATAAAAACGTGGCTAAACAATGTATATTTTCGTTTATGTTGATTAAAAATGTTTCATTATAGTGATATAATTTTACTGTGTAATTTACTGTAAAAAAAATTTTATACTTTGATTATTTGTGATTATTTATTTTCAAAAGTTTTTTTTTTCTAGTTGCCATTTTCAACAGTAGATATTTGTCTAGATTTCTTAAAAAAATTCGTTTAAAAATTCAAAGTCGTCTCTTTTAACATAGCAATATAAATTTAAGTTTATATTCACCTTCAGTTAGATTCACTTTTATTAGACTTTTATAAAAGTCGGTGGACTAATTAATATGGAAAACCCTAGTAAGGTATTTTAATATAAAAATGTTATAGAAATATAAAATCAAAAATATGAAATCGAGAATTTTAACACAAAAATAGCATATTTTTAAATACGTTAGACATTTTTATCATTAAGACAATGTAAAGTTTGATTTTTTTTTTTTCATATAAAAGTATATTATATAAGCTTTAATTTAAGATAAATATAAAAGTTTCAATATTTCCAAAATATTTTTAAAAGTTGAAAAAGTTCAATTTTTGTGGAAATATTATCATTTTGAAACTTCTTCTGTGGATAGGTAAAAGGTCATTTTTTTTTTAAATATACCAAATGATAGGTAATTACCTAATATATCTATAAAAAAAATTTTGTATCTATTCATCTATTTCTCAAAAATGTATGGCAGTTTTAAGTAAGAAAAGTTAAAAAATTGTCAAAAAATACCGATATTTAGAAATGTAATTTTTGGCTGATGTTTGGTAGAGAATGCTTTTAGCAAAGACCTGGTGGACCAGTTGTCACAAACACTGTCGATTATATTATATCGTGTGATAGCCATCTCTAGCATTTTTTCTTTACTCACCTCTCGCCCACCCAGCACGGCAAATCGATGGTCTATATGTCATCCGTGGATAGTTCATCGTGGTTCGTCAGTGAATACATTTTTTTACGCGTCATCTTTTTTTTTGTAGCTAGCGCCCTTAGCTTGGATAATCATTTGTTCGGCCATTGAACGTCATAATTTGTATTATTTGTTTGTTTCACCCTTGTGCTCAAAGTTCTCGGGCCTTTGCACGCCTCCAGTGATTGGGCCCTGACCATCAGTAAATAACTTCACTATCGTAGTTGCTTTTCTACCGTTTATTTTCATCCGCTATTACGTGCCTGCATCTAAAAACTGACTCGTAATACTCAGATGTTCGACACCAATACCACAAGATCTCATACTTCATGTATTCAGTTGAGTTTTATATTATATACAGAGTGATTTTTTTATCATAACCCACTCAATTACTTGCAGAATAATAATAATTTAAACATTTTTTTTTT